CCCCCATGAAACTCCTTCCTCTTCGCCCCCGCCGTTCTGCTTCGCCCCGCCCCGTTCTGCTTCGCCCCCGCAAAAAATCTGCTTCGCCCCCGTCGTTCCTCTACGCCCCCGGCGCAATTCTGCTTTGCCCCCGTCCTTCTGCTTAGCCCCCAATGGCGGCACAGCTCACAGTCACCACGAAAATCGTCTGCAAAATAACAATAAAGGCTGTGCCGCCAAATTTAAAGTAGCCCATGCTCCGGCAAACATTCTGGACCACCTTTCTGCCAAGTGGCGTTGCACAAATCCTTCCCATTCAAAAGTTTACCCCTACCTCACGGCCCGTCAGTGGTCTCGTCTAGTGCGGAAGCCACCTCTGGTAACCCGGAAGTGACTTCTTTCCGGCAAGTTGCTGTCATCTCTTCATACCATATGCCACTTGTGGCACGTCCGCTTCTTCAGGTAAACGTTTGCATGCCTTCCTACAAGTCACACAACCTAGTTCACTTGTATTGGGGGCTTCATTAAGTTAAGTATGCAATGCTAAGCCAACAGGTCACTGTTTAATCTGATATGTTTCCACACTTACTACGCTCCCCTGCATGGGTGGGAGGGGGGATTTATGAAATACATGACATGGGACTGTCCAGGTGATAAAGTAAGTTAATACAGAATACAGAACACGTTCAGCAGTTTGTTCGTTGAGTTTTGGTCTTTACTTTACTGTGTCATCCATGTGACTTGAATTATAATGGTGGGCTGTGGCAGAGGATTTTGTTGTAAAGAAGACAAGGATGGAAAGATAAGTGTACTTTTTTAATTTGTAGAAACATTAAACCCTCTGAAACTGGAGAATAAAGAGCTGTAGTCCATATTGTTGATTTTTTTGTAAAGGGAACTAAATCTTAAAATTGAAAAGCCTGGTATACTATGCTACATATACCCCAAACCCAAGTTTTCATGTTTTTTTATCAGCCTATCAAATTGATTTGGCTTTCCCAGCCATGTGGACATCTTTTGTGACCTACATGTACCTCTTCACAGTTGCCATCGTACTGCATTTATTCAACCAATAAAGCTTCATGTATTGACCGTGTGCAGTTTGCATCTGACTGTGACAGCAAAGAAGTATGTTACAATATTGCTTATCAACTTGCAGTGCGAAATTTCCATATGGTCAGGCTGGCAAAACGACATCTATGATAGACTGATATAAAAAGTGAGAATTCGCTTTGGAGTATATGTAGCATAGTATACCAGGCTTTGAATTTCAAGTCTCACTCCCCTTTAACCTCCAACATACAGTGCTGTTGGACTGAATTATAATCAGCTGTTGATCCAGTGAGTAAATGAGTGAAATTATCATGTCACTGACTTGATTTTTTTGCTTCTTTAGAATGGGTTGCAAAAAGAAAAGCAGACTGCATGTAGGAAAAAAAGGTCTGAGGTACTACCAAAAGGAAAGAGTGCCACTGCAAGAAGTCTCACAGACTCTTGGGGCCTGCGCAAACAGCCCATTTAAAAAAAAGAGGAAGCTACACACTCCAGTATCATCACCCTACAAGAAGCATCCTCTCACTCCCAGTAAACGTCACTCCCACAAGAAGCATCCTCTCACCCCCAGTCCATGTCACTCCAAGCGGAGAAGTCCCTATGTTTTTCTCCAGGACAGCAAAGTAACAGGTAAAGTTTAAAATCTTAAACCTTGATATTTAAATAGGGTATGTAGATATTGATTTGGTGAATCAAGCTGTAAAGGTACATGTTATTTCCTATATTTGATATACCTAAAACATGTTCTGCTGACTTTCCCACAGAACTCCACCACCACAGTTTGACCTACAAGATGATGACGAGTGGGAGGATGAAGATATCTCAGTAAGGTAAGATGAATTGTAATTGTGCAAAGTCATATGTTTATTTAATCAATAGCATAAATTTGTTGCAGTTAGGTTTTCAGCCTTTTTTCTTTTGTCCTTATTGTCCTTATTATTATATAATTAGCTAGTATAGTCTAGGTGTTGAAGTATAACATACTTGTCTTTGAATGGTACTTCCATCCTTCCCAGCAAGTTATTGCTACCCTTATAATGTTAAAGTCATGCATCTGTAGTTGTGAACTAATGATTTTGTGTTATTTTCCACCCTCCTTCAGTGTAGGGGACCCTTTTGAGGAAACCATCACATCTGCTGGTATAGCTTCACTTTATTACTAACATTTGTTTCTGTTACCTGTTCTGTTATGTTCAGCTCAGTTATGTTCAGTTCAAGTTCACAGTTCTTCTTTTCCAGGCAAGAGATCCTGACTATTTACAAACAATTTTCATTTTCAGGGCATTTCTGAGCTGTATCACTGGAGAACAGTGGATGACTTTAAATTAGTTTCTTGAGAATTAGAATAGTAATGGTCTATTTTTGTTTTCACGTAGATGAAGACCTCTTCACAAAGATGATGATGGCACAAGGCATCCTGATGGAACATGACAGGCCAGACATCATCAGTGAACTGATACATGCCATAAACTCAGGCAATCTGGACACATCTCGATTAACGTTCCAAATCATTCATGAAACATTGAAATTCTTGAACTCTCCAGACATCAGAGGTATGCGATACTCAACAATGAGTCTTGATTTTTGGAAGATGGTAATGAATAAATGTGGGGCTGCTGTGATTCGCATGTTATCAGGATGGAAGACAATAGACAATGCCCTGACAACAGAGAAGAACCGTGACTGGCAAGGATCGAAGACCAGTATCATCCTAGCTACACCAAGTGTCAATGTGTTGTTGACACATCACACGATGGTCAGATTTGGGCCCAAAAGTCCCACTCCGCTACTATGGAAATCGAATCCCCCGAACCCGCGAATCTTGTCCGATATGACGTCATTCGAATAGAGCGGACGTTCGATCTGGGGTTACCCGCGGTCATTTACAGTAAAGCCGCTACAACCGGCTACTTCAAGCCCTTTTTTACTTGGGAACCACGGAACAGGAAAAATCCACCTTTCCACAAATATGAACCATTTTTAAAACATTACATCTATGTCGTGATTTTATTGTGGATATGTAACATGTAACGAAGCTACTGCCGTCATCGTGGGTGACCTTGAAGGTCAGAATTCTTGTTTACGCTGTTATAAAATCCAGGTCCCCATATCCAAGTGGCACAGCATGCGTACAAACATGGTATTTTAACCATTCCCAAAATTCGCTCAAATTACCTCATTGAGGGCTTGTTTGGAAGAGGAACGATTTCCGCAGATTTCTGTCTTAGGGATTTTTTAAATATGGCCGCGATTATGAATTATCGGTATTTAAAGTTAAAACACGGCGTTATTAGCTCTTCTTTTGACTGTAAGTCGAGTTTTAGTTAAAAAATAAAAAATTCCTAAGACAGAAAGTTTAAATTTACTGTAATATTTCTAAAATCAAAAATCTAACCTTATTTTAATTTTCGGGGCCTCTTAAAATCAGTTGTTTGGTTCTCGTGAACCCTTTTTG